ATTTGAACCGCTGACCTGCTGATCTAGCAGTAGCCTGCAGTGCTGCATTTAACCACTGAGCCACCTTGGCTCTTAAGTGAGCCTCCCCCCATTCCCTGCCCTAAAAAGAGCCGCGGTGGTGCAGTGGTTAGAATGCAGTTCTGCAGGCTACTTCTACTGACTGCCGGCTGCCTGCAATTTGGCAGTTCGAATCTCACCAGGCTCAAGGTTGACTCAGCTTCCATCCTTCTGAAGTCAGTGAAATGTATTGTTGGGGGCAATATGCTGACTCTCTGTAAACCGCTTAGAGAGGCCTGAAAGGCCTATGAAGCGGTATATAAGTCTACTGCTATTGCTATATTAAAAATATTTTCAAAATATAGCAACATTTATTCAAGGGAGTAATGTTTGAAAGATGCAACTTGGTAGTAGCATTTCTGTTTTGATCCATTGAAGTCACAACCGATTTCTTCTCCAGGTATTAAAGTGGCAGAATGAATTGGTAGAATGTTCCCTCACCAACATCATGGATGCAGCTTCTTGGATCAGAACTCTGCAGATGAATAGCAAGGGGGAAGCCAGTGCTTGGAATGCCATTGAAGAAGCAGTAGAAGATCCCAGCTGCCAAGCCATATGTCTATTCACCAGTGGATTGCCCGAAGGCTCTGTGGAAGAAATCTGTAGCCGCCTTAAAGAGACAAAGCAATCATGTCCAGTGCATATTGTTCAATGGATAGAAAATAGAGACAACAATAAAATTAGCTGTCAAAAGCTATTGGAGAAAGTAGCCAAGATGTCTGGTGGTACTTTCCAAAGTATTGATGGAGCTTCCTCTGAGGTAAAATAATAAAAGTGGTCATTCTGAATCTGACCACTTGATTTGGGGGAACTGTGGTAACGATTGTGATTCTTTGGTTAGCCAAAGAAAAGTAGTCTGACTTGTTAAACTACGTTCATTTGATAACATGAAAATTCAGTCTGTTGAGTTACTTCCACAAAGGCTCTTTTTTCCCCCTTTCCTTGATTTATTTTGATGCTTCTCTGAGGCATCCCTCTCACAGGAGGTATAAAGAACAAAAATAATCACCAAAGCAGAAAATAAAATCATAAGTAATGAAAAATGGTAAATCTATACAATCCATATTTAATATACAACAGAAATATAAAGATAGTGTATGTATATTAAAAGGTGGAAGGAAAAGAAGAGGAACAATGGTAATAGAAAGCTCTGGTTGAAGAAGTAGGCACCTATGAATCAATGTAGAAAATTCTTCATAAGCATCAGGCAGTTAAAGGAGAGCTTTCAGACATATTGCAAAGAAAAAATGTCTTGCCATTCATACTATGACCCTTTGCAGGGGTGGGCTTCAAAAATTTCAGCAACAGGTTCTCTGCCTGGTTGCTAGGCGGGCGTAGCCATAGTGGGCATGGCCTAGTTAGCCCCCTGCACCACGGTGGGAGGGGCCGTTTTCGCCTTCCCCAGCCTCCGGAGGCTTTCCTCAAGCTTCTGGAAGGGCAAAAACTGCCTCCACCGGGCTCCAGAGGCCAGAAACAGGACCATTTCCAGAACTTTTGGGAGGCCCATTTTTTCCCCCTCCCTGAGCCTCCATGTAGGCCACGTGGAGACTCTGGGGAGGGGTGGGTGGGGTGGTTGGGGCCAGCCAGGGATAGGATTTGGAGGTTCTCCGAACCGGCCATAGCGTTAGCTACAGGATCTCCCGAACCCGGGCGAACCCATAGCAACCCATCCCTACCTAACCCTCTGATATTCTTAGTCATGGAGAAATGAACACATGAAATCAAATTGTTGGAAAGGACTGTGTGTAGTTTTACCAGTCTAAATTCCCAGAAGAATGCAGAGTTATTGTTCTCTAATTTCTTCCATCCTTTTAGGATAAGACTGGCTGTAATTTAGGTTTTCATCATCCTGGTAGCATCGACAATCATCTCAGCTTCCCTCCGCTGGTGGCAGATCATTGCACAAAACTGTAAGTTTAGGCACCAGTGGATTCTAATGTTATTATTAATCATTTTATCAATGTTAGAATAGAGCTGTAAGTGCCAATAGGGTTGATACTTATTATTAATCCATTTGTTTCAGTAATCCCAATTCTCTGGTGAGCGATCTTGCACTTCCTAATGCCTGTTGCTTTCCTTTGTCACAGGATTCCTTTGGGTGCATGGGGTCCAGATACTTGTAACATATGTCTAAGAAGTCCCATACAAGAGAATTTCGGGGACTGTTCCACAAATAGCCATCATTTGCTGAGGGGGATACGAGTTCTTGCCAGAAAACAGACAGATGGCTATTATTATCTCAGTCATATTGTCCAAAAGGTATGCTGGTTTCCCTGAATTAGTATTTTTCATTAATCATCTCAATACATAATTGATTTTCTGTTGATGACATATAGATACTGCTCCATTGACTTCTTCCCAACTTGATGATTCATTTGGCTTGTGTCTTATGCAAGAGTACCATTTTATAAGGCGGTGATGGCTAACCGTTTTGCCATCGTTTGCCAAAAATGGGGGGAATGCAGGGGGGTCGTGCATGTGCCCACACCCATAATGCTATGCGTCCTTCCCACGTGCATGCATGCACGACCTCCATGTGCTCCCCTCGCTTTTGGCACACAATGGCACCCCCACCCCCTGAGGTCCCCTGGAGGCCAAAAACAGCTTGTTTCCCGACTTTGGGGTGGGCCCAGAAGGCCCGAAAATCAGCTGGTGAGCTGAGCTCGTGTGCCCATCGATATGCCATCCACATGCCATAGGTTCGTGGTTATAAGGTGTCTCTTTGAACCAGGGTGGTATAATTTTACAAGGTGCTGGGTTAACCATTATTTTACAACACAACTTTCTCCATAGGGCTGCCACTGTGGAAATCAAATTGGAAATGGGAGCTCCTGGGATAGCAACCTAGTGAATAAAACACAAATACATATCATAAAAGCTTTGGGGGATTGTGTTTGTATTAAAGGCCAGGCTAGAAAAAGCTTCTGCTACTATTGAGGAAGGTGAAACAGGAAAGTTGCACATTTTCTCTTCCTTGAGAAGAGGGATCCCAGGGATCTCATACTCCACAGACAGGATCCTCAGGAGAAAAAAAACAGCAGAAATGGGAGTGTTTTACAGGAGCGATTTGTGACTTGCCTTAAAGTCTGTAAAATTCTCATTCGTGGTTGTCCCAAAGATGCTTTTTCAGGAGACAACTGGACTTTCTTGGCCGGGGGGGGGGGGGGGATTTGAAGATGTTTCGCTTCTCATCCAAGAAGCTTCTTCAGCTCTGACAGGATAGTGGGGAATAGAAGGATGTATATTCCTTGGTCATTTGCATCCTTTTAGAGGGAGCTTGAAGCACTTGGAGGCTTATCTGTGTCCTCAGGGTCACCTGAGTAGTGCTCCCGATTCCTGTAGTCTGCAATTTTTCCCCCTTCTGGAAATCCATTCCTACTCCCACACCATTCAAAGGGTGTTCATCCCAAATTGTATAGCTAAAAATCTGTAGAGATTCTCAGTCATCCAGACCANCTTACAACAATTGGACTAGAAGACCTCCAAGGTCCTTCCAGCTGTTATTCTGTTCTGTTTTGTTCTTCTAATTCATTGTTTCAGTGCTGTTGCAACTTTAAACGATCACTAAATAATTGTTGTAAGTTGAGAACTACCTGAAAATAAATAAATATCAGGCATGTCTCATATAACCACCAATGGAAATTCTGGACCCAATTGTTGTAAGTTGAGAACTCTGTATATATCCGTAGCTAGAGCCATTCTAAGAAGCGGAGCTTGTCGATCAGAAAGGTCGGCAGTTTGGCGGTTCGAATCCCTAGCGCCGCGTAATGGAGTGAGCTCCCGTGACTTGTCCCAGCTTCTGCCAACCTAGCAGTTCAAAAGCACGTAAAAATGCAAGTAGCAAAATAGGTACCACCTTTGGTGGGAAGGTAACAGCGTTCCAGACACCTTTGACGTTGAGTCATGCCAGCCACATGACCATGGAGACTTCTTCGGACAGCGCTGACTCTTCGGCTTAGAAACGGAGATGAGCACTGCCCCCTAGAGTCGGGAACGACTAGCACATACGTGCGAGGGGAACCTTTAGTGAGCAGGTGCTTTCAAGAAGTCTTTAACTTTTAAATTCCAAGGAAGAGGCTTTTAATTTGCCTCCGTTGGCTATTACTATTTTAGGTTATTTTAGAGTCAAAAATGGTTAGTTGTCAGCTGACTCTGGCATCAATCCCTTCCTGAATGCTAAATGCTTCTCCCTGCCACCCGTTTGGGGTGGAAGATGAATTCCACCCCGCCAAATGATTGTAAAACCAGAGCATTAATGCAGATATTGCAATCTTAATGATTCCCCCACCCCCTTCTCTCCCTACGTTTGGGATTAAAATGTTCAGATCCCTTAGGGAATCCTTAAATGCTACTAGCAATTGGCAGGGGAATTTAGAATTCTTTTCCCTTAATGCTAAAGCAATCCAGATTATTCTAGAAAGCCTTTCTATCAAGAAGTATTTACAGAAACGGTGCTTGCTTTCCGCGGCTATTAAAGGAAATACTTAAAAACGTGCACGATAGTTTTTCCCTTTAGCTCACGGCGTAATTAAAACTGTATATTTTTTTAAAAATTAATAAAACCACCCTCTGCCATCCAAGCAGCAAACTTTGCAAAAAGGAGTAGGGCGGCTGAATATGGGAAACAAATCAAGTCAGGCGCTTTGGGGAGTTTATTATAAAATAACATCCCAAAGCTGATGCCCACTACTACAAATATCTCGGTCTTTCTTTTAAATAGTCCACTTCAAAAGTCCACGTTTTACTTTAGATTAAAGGGGTGATTCTGAGAAATATTTCCATTTGTATGGGATTGGTGGGCTTTCCAATATCTTACTTTTAGAGTGTTTTTTTTTGGGGGGGTGGCTATTCCAGCCCTTTAACATGTACTGAATATTCAACACTTTGAACTGTAGGAAGTTAGCACCCACCCGTCTCCTAGGAAAATAAGATATTTTAGGAAATATTAAAAGGGCAGAATATTTCCCCTAAAAGGAAGGCAGAAACTCACCCCTCCCACTAGGCTAATCTAGTCTACATAACAAAGATCAGGCAGAATCCCAAAGCCCTTTCATTACATCATCACCCAGCAAGGCTCAACCAAGCCTGGGACTCAGGGCAGCCTACAGAGTTGCCCCTGCATGATCCTATGGGAGTCTGACAACCAATCGGAATACAAGATCAAATTCAAAAGCCCAGAGAGGGCATAAAACCCAGGTGCTCTCAACATCTCTCCCCCTTTTTTTCTTCTTCACCCAACATCTTCAAGGCATGTGATCCTGTCCACCATTAAAGCCATCTTTCCAAGCAGCCTCTTGGTTTCCAGTCTCCTTTTCCCCAATTTGGAACTGAACCCAGATGGACATGTCTTTCAAAAGAACTAAACATCATTTCATCTTGGTTTACAGATAGTCCTTGACTTGTGACTTGCACTTGAGCCCAAAATTCGTGTTGCTGAGCAAGACCGTTGTTAAGTGAATTTTGCTTCCTTTCTTGCCACAGTTGTTAAGTGGATCTTTACAGTTATTAAGTTAGCAGCATGGTGTCGACATCCAGGTCAAGAATCCAAATAAAACTCCAGCTTCGTTCCATTTCTGAACATCTTACTGTTTCTTGGATGCGCTGCATGGAAATGTCAGAGTAAAACTAACTGTGAGGTTCCCAAACACCAGTTCATAGAATTAAACAATAATTTCCCCAGCCAATCCCCCAAATTCTCACATAGTCCATGTAAACAAGTTCGCTTTGTTATAGGAACCGTCTGCTTCAACTCCAGCACCTGTTATGATGCCCTTGAAAAGGTTTCAGGCTGTCACAACACACAGCTTCAGCCGAATCATAGTGGTTTCGGTTTTCCATCTAACCCATTTTAAAAAACACCTTCCCCCTCCCTCCCCAATGGCAAGTTGAAATGAAAGTTTCACTTTCACGGTTGTGAAGTGAGCCTCCCCATTGTCTTTGCTTGTCAGAAGGTCACATAAGGGGATCCCATGACCCCGGGACACTGCAGCCATCATAAGTATGATCATTTCGATCTCACGACGGTGGGGATGCTGTAAACAGCCGTAAGCATGAAAAATGGTCGAAAGTCCTTTTTGTAACTTTGGACTATCACTGAATGAACTGTTGTGTAACTCAAGGGCCACTTGTACTTCTTCAGCATATCTTGGCTCCGTTGGAGAACATTGTTCTGAGCGAGGCTTTCCAAAAGCCTGAAGCAAACTTCTTGTCCTGACAAAAACCCCTTTTATTAATCTACTGTGAATTTCGCTCATTCACGTCCAGCAAAGTCTTTCTAGGGAGGATTTACAGTCACAGACCTTCTCTGGCTTGGAGAGCTGCCAGGCTGGTATCTGCAGAACTTGACAAAGAGTCTTGGAGAGTCATGAAACAATTAAGTGAACTAATTGTCTCCTGCAAACTCCACTCCCCTTTTG